ATTACATTCTTCCAGTTGTGCTGTTATTCTCACTATCCTTTTCCAAATTATTCCATCACCATTATCTTCAACTCACTGCCCCCTAGGCTTCCCATTGAACAAAATAAAGTATATATTTTTTAAAAAGCAACATAGTGTAATTTTTTTATTCTTCCATTTGTTTGCTGTATGACTTTGGACTGGTCATCTTAGCTTTTTAGGACTCAGTTTCCTTCTCTGGGAAAGTGCTTTGAAAAAAAAAAGCTACACGAACATCTTATTTTTCCCGTATTCTTTCCTAAATATTTCACATGTGCTACCCTGTGAGGTTAGTAGTAGTATAGATGAGGAAAGGGAAGCACAAACAGCTCGAGTGACTGGTCCAAGGTCATCCAGCTAGTAACTGATAAAAATAAGATTTGAATCCCAACAGTCAGGCTCCTGGGCCAGTGTGCTCACAGCAGTCCTTCAACCCAACTGAGAGATGCACTTTTGAGAGCATGTCCCTCGGTGCCTAAAAACCAGCATGCTAAATGAAAAGCAAAACGAAGTGACGTTTTAAATATTATCAAATCTATCACCAAAATGAAGAATCAATGACTGGAGTAAGATTTAACAAAGAGCATATCTGATAACTTGATGTTACCAGGAACAAAAGGTGAAACTATGATGAGACAACAAAGAATTAAAATGACAGATCTTTTTAATAAGAGAGGCCTCCAGGCTGATGTAAAAAACACACATACGTGTAATTATCTCTATACCTCTGGGTGGAGACAGACTATGCTGGAAGCAGGAAGCATGTGCTATTGTTACATGCCTCTGAAAAGTATGGTGCAGACACTAGGAACCCATGTGCTAGAGCTGCGACTGTACATCCTGAAGAATGATTGGTGGGCTACATATAGGTTGACTACGGAGTGCTCTGAGGGCCCACTATGCTTGGCAGTTACTGTACCAGAACTGTCAGTTATCGAGATGTTTTCAGCACTCAAAGTTTACGAGAAAGTGACAAGTAACAATAAAACATGTTACTGTATCAGAATGTCTAAAATCTTTTTTCAATGGATAACCAAAACGTGGTACATACATACAACGGTGCTTTAGTCAGCCATAAAGATAAATGAAATCCTGGTACATGCTACAACATGGATGAACCCTGAAACCATCATGCTGAGTTAAATAATAAGTCAGACACACAAGGACAAATATTAGATAATCCCACTTATATGAAATGTCTAGGATAGGCAAATGTATAGAGACCTAAGTTTATTAGTGGGCATCATGAGTAGTACGAAGGTGGAAAAAGGGAGTCGTCGTTTAGGGGGCGCTGAGCTTCTCTTAAGGGTGATGGAAAAATCTGGAAACGGACAGTGCTGATAGTTGCACAACATGATGAACATAATTAATGTCACTGAATTGTACATGTAAAAATGTTGAAATGGTAATTTTTGTTATATATGTAGTCACCCATAATAAAAAAAATTTAATTAAAAAAAAATTTGCAAGCAATGTCCTGCGGTCAAATTGAGCCAAATACCTTCTAGCTTTTTAATCAACTCCACTGGAAAATGATTAATACATTATCCAGAATCAAAGAAAGATTATTTTATGGTCAATGTTGATGCACCAAATCCAAAACGGGAACTCAAGACATTTTGGAAAAAATGTCAATGAGCAAGGTTAAAACATATTCAAGTAACCAAAATACTCCCTTCACGAAACATGCTGGTTATTTGAGGTTTTGTTTTATCATAAATTATAACTGAGAGGTTTCCCAAGTGGTTAAACAAAAAAGAATTAAAAAGTTGAGTAATTCTCCTACTGGATGTTTTCCTTGAATTCGAATCTTACCATGGCAACATTCGGAAGTCCCCAGAGAAGTCTTCATACTTGTAGTTTACCACATGCCAATCTGTGCTGTAGGTTTTAATACACTAAAAGAAAATTCAAATCTTTAATTTTAAATATAGGAAAAGTACACATATACCTACTTTTTAAAAGTCTGGTAATAAGCTGACGGACTTTTAAATACCATTTGTGAAATGTTACTGCTGGATTCTTCCTTTGGGCAATAACAGTGTTCTCTCTAAACCAACTGGCTTCAATAAAGCCCAACTCATATGCCCTTTTGAAAACTCTGACTTCAGGTCGAGAGAGTATTCAAATCCAAAAGAAAAAGACTAAGAACAAACTCTACTTGGCGAAATATTTAAATTGCATCCTCTGTATCACATTATCTAGATTTGTTAGATAAGTCAGTTAAATTTTATTTTCTATTTACACTAAAGGGAAAATACGACAAATGTATGATTAATACTCTGTGGCCTTTGAGCCTCTTACCTCTTTGACAAACAAACTCTGGGCTCTTTTCTCAGCATCTTCTGGTACTGTAGACTGCACTGTTCTACGCTGCCGACTTATCACCGAGATCTAGAAGACAGAAGACTTTTGCTGTAAGAACGGATTTGGAAAGTGCAGTTATTTTCTTTAAAGAAGTGCTTGTGAACTCACGGATATATCTTCCATTGGAAACATAAGCAGGTCTCTGAGAGGATCACTGTAAATCTGGGTTTTTCTCTGGGTGACAACATTCTCATAGTCCAGGGGCTCCACAACTTTGGTCTTTTCCTTTATAAGAGTCCAAAAAAAAAAAACCACGTTATTATGGTCAAACTCACAACAGATAAACTTCTCTCTATTAAAGATACATTATTTCACAGCAGAAGGTATTACTGATAAGTACCCAAACAGAGGAGACACTTTCACAAGAGAAATAGTCTCCATTCTTAGATACACACACCAAACACATATATACACACACACAAAACCCTCTTTGCTAAGATAAGAGTTCCGGAGAAATAGCATCGTACTCTGCTTATCTGCATTGAATTTAAAGTAAAACAAAAAGTGACCTGTTTAGAAACCTGTTTCGGTTGAGATTTACTGAATACGCACTACTCACTGGATAACCGAAACAGAGAAAGCATCAACATACATGTGCTACTCTCTAGCAGGCACACTGTCCAAAAGCTGTATCAAGGTCCAGCATAGTTGGGGCGAACATGGGTAGTGGAGATAGATGCTTGATCCAGTAGGCAGGGCATGAAAGGGTAAGGTTCCAGGGGACAAAGTCAGTGGATCCCAGTCGGGCTTCCTGAAAACCTGGCCATGGATAGTAGGGCCTCAGCCTGAGGCGAGGGGTACAAGGAGCATGGTCAGTGACTCTGAGGCATCCAGCATTTGACTCATTAATAAGAGTAACAGTAATAGTTAGCATTGCCTGAGCCCTTTCTTTATGCCAAGCACTGTGCTACGTGCTTTCTGTATGTTTTCTCTTGTAATACTCATAATAACACCCTATGAAATAGGTTTAATCTTTATCCCCATTTTACAAATGAGGAAACAGACTCAGATTAAGTAACTTGCCTGCCTTCAGAGTGAGAATTCAAACCTGGGTCTGTACTGAAAAGGCTCTGCCCCTCCCACATTACATGGCCTTTCCTTCCCTCAGAAATACACAAAGATACTACTGTGCAAGATATAGAACCCACCACCTTCCTTCCTATCACTTTTTTCCTCCTTTGAACTTAACCATGATCAGATATACCGTATATTTTACCACTCTATTTGAGGACAGGGAATTTTTTTTTAAATCATTCACTGCTGTAACCCCAGCATCTAGAACAGTGCCTGACACATGGTTGCCATCCAATCATTAATTGTTGCATGAACTCTGAGACTTTCTGATTCAATTGCAGCTGTGTCTCTCAACATGTTACTCTAAACCAAGTTAGGTACATATTAGAGATTTCTAATAGCACTGTTTTACTTAAATTGTTTTTTCTTAATAATTTTATGGTAAAAACTACATAAGTAAAACTCAAATTTAAGATGTAGTAAAACTTAATATAACAATAAAATCGGGGTTATATTTATATTTGTGTACACAGTACTTGAGGCAGTAGCCAGTGTATTATATCCACATAATCCTTCGAGAACAGTTTTTATATATGGCTCACAATAGGTCACAGCTATATCAAAGCTCCGTATCTCAGCGGTATCTCAGTGTCTCCTCTATGAGATTACTTAGAAAGATTAAAGTAAACCACTCTAACCGATGAGAATGTGCTCAACAAATCTAAAATAATCAAACTAACAAAGATATACTTCATTTTAAGTCTCGCGTTTTTGTGTTTGGATTTGTAGGCCCATGATTATTAGCAGGCAAATATTTCAATAAGATCCAATCAAGCTGCTCATCCCTATCATGTCTCTGAATAGTAGTGTAAAACAAGTTGAAATCGAAGAAAACATTCCTGTTTTGGTAACTCAGAGATTTTCTGATAGGAAAATTTGACCCTTTGTCCCATACCTACCATGTTTTCACAGAACCAAGTGACAAAGAACTCTGACTGCATTTTCTAGGTCTAATACTCCAAGTCTGTGATGGTTTACTCACAATGTTAAATAAATAAGGTTAAATGAATAAAACCCCATTTAAGAAAGCAAACCTTGGGCACTGAAAACAAAAGTCTTGTTTTTGATGCCACCTATCCTTCCAATAAAACCAAAACCAAAACCAAACCCGCCGCTGTCGAGTCGATTCTGACTCCTGGCGACCCTATAGGACAGAGCAGAACTGCCCCATTGGATTTCCATTTACAAGGAGCAGCTGGTGGATTCGAACTGCTGACCTTTTGGTTAGCAGCCAAACGCTTAACCATTTCGTCACCAGGGCTCCATCCTCCCAATACCAATTGCAAAAACAGCCCAGCGATCTCAACGTTTAACCTGTTGAATTAGCATCTGTTAACTTCTCTGTGCTATAATTTCACAAGTACCTGCTTTGAGTAACTTTGAAAAATAAAAAAGCAAACTCTCCTTCAGCTTTTGAATGCAGATATCAAATTAATATGGAAAAGCATACAAAATATATCACTTGTTTAAATGTACAATGTCTCCTAAAAATGAAACTTCCAGCTCCCCGTGTGTTTTGAAGGCCACAGATCCAGGTTATAGAAAACAAGGTTTCACTTTTCACTGAAAATTGATTAAACTAAGCTTTCCTGGGTCTTCACTGCTACTTCATTTATCAGGGGTAGGTCTGCCACAGGAAAAGTTGAGGTGACTATTCTGGGTCCCACAAAGCTTCCCCAAATAGAAGATCTAGGCCTGTGAATCAGGTTTCACTTCTATAAGAAGAAGAAAAAGAAAAAAGAGGATGGACTTAAGTCTCCACCATCCAGTCAACCATTTCTCCACCCCTCTCCCACACAGAGGCATCTTGGAAGAAAGGCCTGGTGATCTACTTCTGAAAAATCAGCCATTTGAAAACCCTATGGAGCAGTTCTACTCTGACACACATGAGGTCGCCGTTGAGTCAGAATACACTAAATGGCAACTGTTCTCCCAGATGTTAAAAGCACAATTCTAACTGCAAGTTGAAGAGAGGGGCTGCAGAAGGAGTCAGCCCTAAAACCACACCCTACACCCATCCAGAAGAATTCAGGTGTAACTCAATTGGGTCAGGGACAAGGAAAACACTGACTTTTAGAATTATCGTGATTTAGTGGTGGCTCTGCCTAGCAGTCTAGGACAGATTCCTTATCTAAGTTTTCTATTAGCTTTATCATTTTATTATTAGACTTATTCGGTTACCCTAAATAAAGTTTCTATCACGCACAAGAAAGGGTTTTTCTCTCAGATTTGCGATTTATCCTTCCTACCATTTTGCACACTGGCTGGCCTAAAAAGGTGCTTTCTCAAAACTCCAGAAACCTGCTTTATAACAAACGATACTTTATAAACATTAATAGTGCAGTTCCACTGTATACTTCAATATAGTTCTGTAGCAGTTTAAGGAAAAGGCAAAAGCATTTATGCAATCTGGAGAGGAGCAAGCATATGTTTCAGTCTTCTCTTCCTAAGCAGTGACAGGAAAACTGTCAACCTAAATTTGCAATCTATTGAGTTTTCACCATGGGGGTGGGTGGGAATGATTTGCCTTTGAAAGTTCTCATTCACTGCTCCCTAAGCTCTTCTCAGTATTGAAATAACTTGCTAGTAATATTATTAGTGTTTTGTGGTTGTCTTACATGAAGAGTACTTTGCAGTCTTAAAAAAAAAAAAAACACTTCATATGCAATTCTGTTTCTTACCAAAAACCTGTCAAGTAGACAAGGAAAATACCATCATTTCAAATTTTATACATGAAGAAACTAGCTCAGAGGTTCAAGTTCATCTGGCTACATTTAGTAACAGAACCGAGATTCAAACCTAGGATTCCCAACTCCTGGTCCTTTTATTCCATTGGCAATGTTTCCCAAACTCAACACTGATGTACATTCATCATGATTTTTGCCACACCTTCTAAATTGTCCTTTACTTCATACTTTTCTTCAAATCAAATCTCTTCTGCATTGAAATACATTTATTGAAAAAGAAAACTTTGTATCACTCCTGTGAATGAAAAAAAATCGGTATTTTCCTCAGACCCATCAAAATAAGTCAGTTTTTTAATTTTATTTATTTTGTTATTGTTGGTAAGAATACACACAGCAAAACATACACCAATTCAACAGTTTCTACACGTACAACTCAGTGACACTGGTTATATTATATTCTTCGAGTTGTACAACCATTCTCACCCTTCGTTTAAGTTGTTCCTCTCTCATTAACATAAACTCCCTGCTCCTAAAGTTCCTAACTAATCTTTCCAGCTGCTGTTGTCAATTTGATCCCATACAGTTCTTAAAAGAGCATAATGCTTAAGGCAGACAAAAAATGTCGAGTTTTGTGCCACAGCTGGGACACAGTGCACTCTTCTAAGCTTACTCAAGCTACTAAAGGACCAAATCTAAATGGGCTTCCATGTGTAAACCCTAAAACTGTGAAGAAATGCAGAATTCCACAAATTGAGATAACATTCTGATTTCTAACATAGGAAGAAAGGACATGGGGTTGAAAAAGGATACTCTTCAGTACAGATTCTGTTACAGTCTGCTTCTCGGTCCAAAGAGAGGAAACAACGGATCCTAAGACTCACTAACAGCATCAAATCCTTTGACTTCATGCTTTTCTAGTGATGCCTGTGCACCCACTGCATGGAATGACTGCCCTTTCATCAACTCAACTATATATGTATAAATATTAAACCATGTTTGTAATCCTAAAATAAATATGTACCTACGTATGTGTGTGTATTCAACCATGCAACCATTCGTGGATTTAAAAGCACCCATAACTAACAAGTCTATTTATGCTACCATTAGAAACTGAACCATACCATTTAATTTCATTTGAAAAGCAGTAAAAATTGCATAGTTATTCCTCTTGTAAACAGCACAAAATCAGCCTGGTTACTTCTTAGATATTACACCAAAGGTCATTACTTTACCGGTAAATCTCTTACTTCAGAAACCAGTTCTCCTTAAGAATTCTAAGAATGTCTCTTTCTGCAAGTTTAATGTGAACATTGGCTTCACAGACTCCCTCCCATAGTATCACACTAGGAAACAGATCAGAATGCAGGCTGAACAGGGCACAGAGCCAATCCGAAACAAATCTGCGACTCCACCCCCATCCCATCCTCCAAATTAAGTTTCAGGGCAAAAAGGAGCATGGCAACA